ATATTATGCGCATTTTGTGTACTTTTTAATATATCCGTATTTTTATACAGTTTTCGGCAATATTAGATATATAAATGCTGAGTGAGAAAAAAATCTATTCCACACGTTTTCATTATTTCAAATTCAATTCCTAACTTTTTCTCACACACATGACAGCTAAAAAATTATCTTCGTAAATAACCATTACAACTTTCGAGTCTTCCATGCATTTATAAATTTCTATTATTTTTTTATCTTTCTCATTTTGCATTCGTTACAATGTGCATTTAACAGTTAAAAACTATTTTTAGATGCTTGTATTTTCCAAATGACAATATACAAGATATGCGCATTGCTGAGTGTAGTACGTGACGTTACAATGTTTTGCGATTCGTCAAGTATAAACAGAAATGTTTTGCTTTCAGTACTACACGGATGTTTTAATGAGCGTTTTGTAGAGTAAGTTGTTTTAGAAATACGAAGAGAAATTATTAATTGTTTCACCATTGTGAACATCAAGGAGTTCAGCTAATATAAACCCTCTTTCTCAACGTTTTCACAACCATCTCTTACGCAATATAACAATAACATTTAATACAAACATTTTCAATAATTTCTACTCATTAAGCAACTCGGGCACCGTTATTGTTGTATCGCAAAACGGACGTCCATCACAATTCGTATCTCTCAGTGTCACAGTTTCTCGTGTATCACGTAGATAATCTTGGTATTCGAAATGAGCTTCGTACTTCTTTGCACGCGAGACGTTAAATGCACGCAAGATATTCTACTGGTGGCGCGTTTTGAAAGAAAATGCCGCGAGGTAAAAAGCATTTTAAAGACATTTTTATAATTGCTTCTAATGGATTGACGTTACGGTTTACTCTCTACTAAACGAATAGCCCTTCTAAGAATTAAAAATAAATTTTTCCAGAAGCTGCCCAGTCATTGTAGATCATTGATATGGCGCACAAATTGATATGACTGTATTATGATTCATAATTAATAAGGAAAATTGTGATTGTTTTCAATTATAGAACTCTAAAACATTTAATTTTCCCTTTTCGGACCCTCGAGAGTACGGACCAATTGGCACGTGCAACGATTTTCAATCTGCCTTTGGATCGAAAATTCTCTTCCGGAAAGTTTGGTCTTTCAGCGAATTAATCGCGTCAATTCCGTCGATCTCTCTCAAACGCTTCTGGACGAGTTGTTTTAAACGTTCTCTTAAATTTTGCCCCCTCCCCCCCC